GGTTAATAGCAGATTTTTTTGTTGTTAATTAAACATAAAATTAGGTTATTTATCATACAAATAAATAATGTCAATAACATCGACTCAATTTCACGCGTTTTCGAAAATCTTCCATTTTTAGCATTTCATTTCAGTTGGTTTTTAGTCCTTAATTCAATTTGACAATTTAGTTTTAAATCCACAAAGAACATATTTTATTAGTTTCAATTTTACAAAAAGAAAAGTAAGGATATTCTTTAGATGGGAATGCCGGATTCACAACGGTACCCTTAAAGCAATTTGTCAACAATTCATCAGATTTCTATCTTCTTTTTCAAAGTTTGTTGTTTCTCCATAAACTATCTTGCGCATTTATGCTTAACAAACAATATGGAGAATTTGGTCTAGATTAAACACGTTTCAAGTAAGAAAATTGACGATATCTTCCACAATATGTACTAATTGTCGGGAATCGAGAATTCCCGTTCTTATGTTTCAGGTGATCCGAAATTAAAACTACAGTCCATTTAAGAACACTATAGACTTTTAAAATTCTAGCTAAGATTATAAAACTTAAATAAGAATCCCTTGACCTACGTGAAGTTTATAAGAATTCGGAGAATTTTTCCAATTATCCAAAAAACATTTCTTGTTAGAAATCTACACCCTGAAATATTACTAATAGTTTTCAAAATTCTTTAAATAATGTTGATTTCCCTAAATGCCTGAAAGTCCCATATTACATATATATATATATATATATAAGTTTTTTATATCAGTTGAAACGCAACAATCTTCTTATATCATTTTATTCATAAAATAAAATATAAGTTTTTTTATAAACTTTTATTTAAAATTTTCAAGACAGGGACAACAGAAAGAACAACTAATGGTGTTAATCAACTCTTCCGCTCCAGCCTATACCCCCCTTTTTTTAACTTAACAGTCCCTTTCAGAAGTATTGGAAATGTAACCTGAAACACAGTAGTAGCAGTCTCCTAGTATCTTTATTCTCAAACATTGCTTCTCCTGAAAGTAGAAATAATTGTCCCCTGAAGATATAATATAATAAACAGAATATAGTAGAATAATTGTCCCCAGAAGATATATAAGATAATAAACAGAATATAGTAGAATAATTGTATTCTGAAGATGTAAGCACTAAACCTCTTTTTAGAGGTCATAGATATTAAGAATTGTAATTAGAAACAGGTGTTATTGAAAAATTGAACAAAGACAACAATCTTCTTATTGCATACTCTTTTAATACTATTTATGTATTTACTTCATAACAAATTATTTGAGATACATATAACATATTTGAAATAATTATTATAAGTAACCTTTATGCTCTACTAAAGTATTCTGGCATTATCTAACTTTCAAATATATTAGTTTCCAGTTAGAGTATCTATATCCTTATACATAATTATTATTTGAATGCATGTATAAATATTACAAATCGAAAAGGGGATATTTTTTTTTTGGGGGGGGGGGGAATGGGGAAGCAATAGGGTGCTTTAAACCTATTTGTGAGGTTCAGTCGTCAGCCTACTTTCACTTAAATGTATTTTTCTTGAAACAAAAAAAACCGAAATTGTCGAAATCTGAACGAAATTCTTTATTCTTTATTTTTTTTAGAATAATACAAAAAGATAGGCTACTAAATGTCTCAAATAAATCCAAAGATCAAAGGCGACTTTTAAAAAAAGCAGACCACCGTTTTGTGGTGTTTGTTTTCAGAATCAGACAGTGAAAAAAGGTTGCCAACTGAATGTCTCAAATAAATCCAAAATTCAAAGACGACTTCTAAATCGTTTTTCTATTGCCATGTTTCGTGGAACACCCTGTACCTGTGCGAGTTGGTCAAACCGTCCAAACAGTCTGTTAAGTGTAGAGACTAGATGATGTGCAGACAATGTTTCTGATAGTGGAGTGAAGTTTACTATATCAGCGTACAGAATACTCACGTTATTATGCCGCTAAAATAATACTATATCAGCGTACAGAATACTCACGTTATTATGCCGCTAAAATAATACTATATCAGCGTACAGAATACTCACGTTATTATGCCGCTAAAATAATACTATATCAGCTTACAGAATACTCACGTTATTATGCCGCTAAAATAATACTATATCAGCGTACAGAATACTCACGTTATTATGCCGCTAAAATAATACTATATCAGCGTACAGAATACTCACATTATTATGCCGCTAAAATAATACTATATCAGCGTACAGAATACTCACGTTATTACACCACTAAAAGAACAAGAATAAAATATTAATTCACGGAGTTGAAGGTTTTTTGGAAACCTAAAAACTCCAACAGTGGGATACCCCTCCACCTTGAACCATGAATTAATTTGGACTAACATTCTAATCTAAACATTCTAAATTGAAATACGAGATAACTAAAATGTTGGGCTTTTCCACTAAAACAAATAAGTATAACATGTTTAAAGAATAAAACAATTCTGGTTCATAAATATATAATTATATTAATATTTATATAAACTTTACTTGGAAGAATTGTGTAATTTTTTTCTGTTTGATTATGTTAATTCAATGAAAAATTGAACAATCCCTTTAATGGACAAACTTTTATAAGAAATATAATCTCAGGATAAATAATGACAATTTTGTATAAGAAACTAAAAAGAATAAACTTTAACAATTTGGGTAAACTTCTATTATTGTTTGTAAACAGACTAAAAATATATTGTCTATTTTTGTAATTTTTATTTATCATACTTTCTGATGCAGGGGGTCGAGACAGGAAGGGACACGAAGGAGCAGAAAGAGACTGGAAGGGACAGCAAAGAACGGGAAGGAACAAGAAGAAACGGGAAGGATATGGAAGGATAGGAATGGATATGGAAGTAACGGGAAAGGATTAGAAAGAACGGGAAAGAACGTGAACGAACGGGAAGGAACGGGAAGAAACGGAAAGGAACAGACAGGAACCAAAAGCAATGGAAAGGAACGGAAAGGAACGGAAAGGAACGGGATATATACCTGAACGAAAAGATCCTGAAACTGACTTGATCTACAGGGTGAAGCAGGACGTGGGGATACAGTCATCTTTTCCATAATACTTCTCTTCACCTAAATATATGTTTACAGGGTGAGGAAGGTGAGTGCGCTTTAAGAAGAACAGCCTTTTAATAAACGTGAGTTATGTTTGAACACATAAAACATTTATTTGAGTTTGACGTGAAATGTATTAAATCAAACATTAAAGCGATGTAAGTTAATAATGAAGAGTCGCACCCCTGGTTCACAACATTATACTTTGAAGATATTTTACTCTAGTAAAATTGATTAGATTTAATTGTGGGTTCTCTTTCTGAGTTGCTTGAGGATTTATACGACAGACACACTAAGAAAATTGATAGAATTTAACACATTTTTAGAAAGAAAAACGGCGATATCTTTCGCATTGTTAGTCAGCTAAAAGGATTCTGTTATATTTCTATAAAAAGACGATATAGTCCTCTTAAAAAGAAATTTTAGAAAAAAAGCTTAAAGGTTTCCGAAATCCTATCACTTTATCAATATCGAGTTGAAAAGCTCCTTTAAAGTTTAATTGAATCTTAGAATTCAATAACTCAGAACTTTCAAAAATTGTGTAAAGTTCAGCACTTTTGGAACAAGCAAATTGTTTCCAAGAAATTTTTCTTGCCAATCTCAGATTCCGTAAAAAAAACTTTATTTAAAAAAACATTTTATTTATTGTTATTTAATATATGATAGGTTTTTTAGATTTGATTTTTTCCACATCTCTAAAACACGATCTTGGTTAAACATACATATAATACATATATATTGAGAGCGAAAGGTTTAAAAATAAATACTATTTTCATAATAAGTGGGAACTATTTTTCTTAAATAATTCAGAATTATCAGTAGCAAATGTCAAAAAATCTAAAATTCAAAGAAAAGAATAAATTCCTCTTAAGTTTTTTATCTTCAAATACCTTGACCATCCCATCAAATTTTATCAATGATAATGTGTTAGCTCTACATTAGGGATGTTATCGTTTTCATTTTTACGAAAAAAGATCGTGAAAAAAAGTCTGATTTTTTTTTAAAAACAAATGATTATGAAAACAACGACGAAAAAAGAAAAAACGAAACGATCGTTTTTTTTAAAAGTTCGTTTTTAAAAACGTTCGTTTTATAAACGATCGTTTTTATAAAGCTCGTCATTTCGTTTTAACAATCGTCAACGAAGAGAAGAGGAGAGAGGAAACCGACCTAAAGGGCATCGGTACTTATTATTTAGTAGTACAACCTTTTACCGGCATGTAAGACGACATTCGATAAAGTTGCATATTTATCAATGACATTTTTTTTTTAAACGAAAGTCTTTTTTAAACGACTTTTTTTATAAAGTTCGTTATTTCGTTGACGATCTTAAATGACAATCCTTCGTTAGCGATCGTTAACGACGACCCTTCATTAACGATCGTAAAAATATTTATCAATGACAATTATTTCTTTCAAAACGATCGCTTATCGTTTTTGTAAAAACGATCTTTTTAAAAAACGATTAAAAAAGTTCAAAACGAGTGAGTCGTTTTCATACCTTAAATTATGTACTTTGAGTATAAGTACTTCTAAAGCTCTCTTGCATATTACCACTGCATGGCAGCTATGTATGCTGGTATATTTTTTCTGCAGCTATGTACGCTGGACGCTGGTGTATTACTTTAAGACCCAATCTTTGACCCAACTCTGACGACAGCGTGTGTCATTTGATTGACGCTGAAAGATCTTCGGCTCATTGAAAATAAAACCGACCTTGGTTGCTTTTAGTGGAGAATAAGGCTCACTGTTGAGTCTTGTTCTCATAAAAAAAAATCAGAATGCGTCAATTCCTACCATGAAAATTCGCCAAGCAGAATATTAAACCGTTTTTTTTTAACTCAACTCTGTGGAAAATAAGATGCAGCTTGGATCCAAAAGCTCAAGCCGTAAATAAGGCCCAACGACAGCTTTGACCCGAGCCGTATTTTCCTGATTTTTTTAATTGCGGGGTCTGGTATATTACCGATCAGCAGGTATGTATACTGGTACATTACCTCTGCAGCTATGTATGCTGGTATATTACCTCTGCAGCTTTGTATGCTGGTATATTACCTCTGCAGCTAAATATGCTGGTATAGTACCTCTGCATCTATGTATATTGGTTTATTACCACTGCAGCTATGTATGCTGGTATAGTACCTCTGCAGCTATGTATGCTGGTATAGTACCTCTGTAGCTATGCAACTTGTCAAGGGTGTTACTAAAAAAACCACGCAAAATACTGATTTTGAACCTTATGAAGTTCTTTGACTGAGAGGTTTCAATTAATAAATTGGTGCCAGAAAAAAATCACTTTATGATTTCTTCAGCACTGGCTTAATTACTATTTTGAATACTACAAACCTTGATCTGTCTTTTCACGGTGGGTTGAGATGTTTCTTAACATTTATTGTTTTTTTGGCCATCTTTTATCTGATTTTGTTGGTTAATTTTGAGTCTTACAATCTTGTGTGTTTTTTTAGAACACCCTATATAATACCTCAGCAGCTATATATGCTGGTATCACTGAGAGGAGGAGATGTTCTTGATGCTCTCTCTCACACTCGAGTTTCACTCTGAACAAAAATAATTTTGATTTTATAAAATATGTATAAATACTTATAGTTTAACTGTTTGTGTACAACAATGATAAATAAAAAGGAGTTGATTTAAAGTATCTAAACCATAAGTTAATTTAAAACGGTTTTTGTATTAGATAAATTATTCAAAACTAATCAATTTTTTGCAAATTAATCATAAATTCAATTCATTATTGCAAAAAACACCAGATTGGATTATTGATAAAACTCCTCTCATCCTGTAACAATTTTAATTTAAACTTTGGCTTTCCAAGTCACCATTTTTCATCATTCCTTCATAAAACTAAACTTTCGCAGATTTTTTTTGCTTTAATTTGTTGATTTTTAACAAATTTTCAATTTTAACCGTCAAGAAAACCTTACTTGGGGTCATTTGAGTTGGGTCCTATAGGTTTAACAATCTTTAAGGTTATTTGGGTCCAAATAGAAAAGCAGACAGACAAGCAAAGTATGTATATATAGATAAAGATGTATATATCATAATATATTAATATCAATCAATCAATCGAAAAAGTTTGAAACTTCTGACTGTTTTGTTAATGTCGGAATAAGAAAAATGGAGCTTTAACCTAATCACAAGATTAAATCAAAAGTATTAAATTACATTATTATTTGTTTACGCTTCAATTAAAAACAGTTTCTTTCTTTATTAAATGGTCTGCTGTATATTGAATGACCTGCTATATATTGAATGACCTTCTATATATTGAATGACCTGCTATATATTGAATGACCTGCTATATATTGAATGACCTGCTATATATTGAATGACCTGCTGTATATTAAATGAACTGCTGTATACTGACTGACCTGCTTTATATAAATTGACCTGCTGAATATTAAATGACCTGCTATATATTAAGTGCCCTGCTGTATATTGAATGACCTGCTATATATAGAATAAGCTACTATATATTGAATGACCTGCCATATATCGAATGACCTACTATATATTGAATGACCGACCTGCTTTATATCGAATGACCTTCTATATATTGACTGACCTGCTATATATTGAACGACCTGCTATATATTGAATGACCTGCTATATATTGAATGACCTTCTATATATTGAATGACCTGCTGTTTATTGAGTGACCTGCTATATATAGAATGACCTGCTGTATATTGAATGACCTGCTGTATTTTGAACAACTTGCTGTATATTGAATAACCTGCTATATACTAAATGACCTGCTGTATTTTGAATGACCTGTTTTATATAGAATGACCTGCTGTATATTGACTGACCTGCTATATAAAGAATGACCTGCTGTATTCTGAATGACCTGCTATATATAGAATTACCTGATGTATATTGACTGACCTGCTATATATTGAATGACTGGCTGTTTATTGACTGACCTGCTATAAATAGAATGACCTCCTGTATATCAACTAAACTGCTATATATTAAATTACCTGCTATATATTGAATGACCTGCTATAAATTGAATGACCTGATGTATATTGACTAACCTGCAATATATCGACTGACCTGCTTTATATAGAATAACCTATTGTATATTGAATGGTCTGCTATATATTGAATGGTCTGCTAAAAATTGAATGACCTGCTATATATTGAATGACCTGCTTAATATAGAATGACCTGCTGTATATTGAAAGACCTGCTATAGATTGACTGACCTGCTATGTATCGAATGGGATGTTTGGCTCCAGGCAAGTTTTCGACTTCTGTAAATGCCCCTAAACAACAAAAATTAATTCAACAATTTCATGTTCAGTAAATTTACAAAACTAGGCTTTCAAGGTTTCTTTTTGGATACATTGTAAAACAAAAAAATTTTATAAAAAAAACTAAAATTTATTAAAATCGACCTTTTGATTATTCATAAACCTTTCCTGGGGTCATGTGAGGTTCCAAACAAAATTTGGCCCCAATCGGTTAAGCCATTTTAACGTTTATTGGATACAAACGGACAGACAGACAGAAAGACAGACAAGCAAAGTATATATATATAGATTAGATTCAACCTAAATCATAAAGAAATGTCAAAAAGTAGTGAAATATAATATAAAACTTATTGAAATATTATCAAGACGACATTTGATAGATTCTTCCGATGTATTCGTTATTAAGGGTTTCACTGTATAATCTACATATTTGAAAAATCTTAAATCCACAAACTATAACATTTTTCACATAATTTTTAAAAAAATCATTCAATTTGGTTCAGCCGTTTGGCCAGCTAGCTATAGCTAACAAATATAAAAATACGATAGTTTTCAAAATAATAATAGTTTTTGAAAAAACGACCTTTTTCAAAAAAGATTTTTTTGTTTTGAAATAACGGTCATTTTTGAAAAAGATCGTTTTTAATGATAGTTTTTAAAAACGACCCTTCGTTAAGGATCGTTAACGAACTTTTAAAATGAAAAAAAAACATGTTTTGGTCGGAACATACGAGGTACCAAAACTTTCAGGTAACTTCTCTCGATAAAAAAAATATTTAAGAAAACATTCATAATGCTAATTTTCATAAAACTCAGATTTATTAGCGAATTTTTTTTCAAAAACGAAGGTTTTCAAAAACGATCGTTTTAAAAAAATCGATCGAAACGATCGTTTTACGTTTTTTGAAAGTTCAATACGAGTGTATCGTTTTTTTCTAAAAACGAGAAGAAAAATTTAAAAACATTTAACAACCTATTTATAAATTTATATATATATATACGAGAGAAGAGCTTTACTTTATAGATAAAGGCTTGTCGATAAAATTTCTAATGGTCATGAATGATTTATTAAGGAATATTGTAGAGTTGCAGTGTTTCTCTCCTAGCATGTAATAGACGACATAAAGATTGCATATTTTGAAAGCTAATCTAAAATTGAATAAGTCATTATAAGCTGATCTTTGATAGATATTTGGAAAAAAAAATTCATAATTGAAATCTTAATAAATATCTTAAGTACTTCAAAACTTTTTGATGTATTCAAATAATTTTTTTCAATCAGAGATTTTTTGTTGTCAAAAAATCTTCTGTCTGCTATTTATATAAAAATTTGGATTTAATCTGTAATCTGTTATTTATTCTTCTTTGGCTAATATGGTGCTATAGGGTTTCCAACTCAAGTGAATTTATTTGCGCGCAATTGCGAGCCCTGTAAATTTCTAACAATTGCGAGCAATTCGAAAACAATTGCGCACAGTTGCGCACAATTTAAGAATTGTAGCGCACAATTCCGCACAGTTGCGTGCAGTTCCGAGCAACAGAATTGCAATTGGAAACCCTAATGGCGCAGAAATAGAAATAAAGAAATCTAACAAAATCTCATCTTTAAAATATAAATATATTTACCACATCAATATGAGTTTGAAGAATAATTTAAAATATTTTCAAAAACTAACATTAATTTCAATTAATCCTTTATGAGAAAGTAACAATTAACAAATAAAGATTGATAGAAAATCCTATTTCCTTTCAAAGAGTATACATTTTAAATTATGAGAGCAATTGTAAGTCAAACTTAAGTTCCTAAAAATGCATAAAAAATGAACTATTTGTCTTGTCCTTGTGTTGCCTTAAAGTATATTAGTGGATAGAGCGAAGTGAATATTGGACTTGAACTTTGGTTTAAACCTCGAGATAGAGGTAAATTGATCTTAATTAAAGTTAGAAACTTGTTTATGTCGGGGTGTATATTTTGGAAATTTCACATGCTTCAACTAGAATAGCATACATATTGGTTATTCAAACGTCTTTGACGCGGACAAAAGCCGACTTTAAATGCAAGCCAAAAAACTGTTGGGTCAAAATATGACTTCATGGGTAACAAAAGATTAATATTTGAACACAGAATTTAAAAATAACGTTGTAAACGTAGAAATCACTTCATAAATTAAATTTTAGTGGGAAAAAACGGTTTTAAGGAGGGAAATGTGTTAGAGTCTAAAAATACCCCTTTATTAGGCATTAACGTGCAACCAATTTTGAAATTTTGTACTGTAATCAGCGGCCTAAGGCGCTTCTGTAGATACCCATTTAGGCATGTACTGAAGAATTTTTTACTTGCAGTTTTTTTTTACTTTTTTCTTTAAAATCAAATTTGTCCTCCAAAAATTGAATTTACAGGAAAGACGTTTTCTCAAAGTTTTTCAAACTTTTATGCTCTTTTCAAATCCGGTTGAACAATTAAGATTTCGAAAATTCTTTAAAAATCCTTCCCCCCTCTTTGTATCAGGGGTTTGAGTACTTTTTAGTGATTTTTTTATTGGACAACTACACAACTGATCACAAAAGCACACTTTAAACTTTTTGAGGCTTTTTAAGCAATCCTCCTCATTTCAAAATAAAATATGAAAATCTGTCAAATCTTGGATTACACAAAAAAGAATTCTCGGTAACCCATAAAAAGTTGAGCTACAGAAAAATAAATATAAAGTATTTATATCAAAGAAAAAAAAGACAAAATTTGGAAATGAACAATTTTGGGATTCTTTACTTCTTTTTTTAAATTAAAAAAAATAGTAGATTGGGCTTAATAGTTTTCATGTAACCCTAGTGGATTGGGCTGACTAGTTTCCGTATAACCCTGGTAGATTGGGTACAATTAGTGTCCATATAAACCTAGTGGATTGGGCTGAACAGTTTTTATGTAACCCTGGTGGATTTGTATGAATAGTGTTTATATAACCCTAGTTGATTGGGCTTAAAAGTGTCCATATAACCCTGGTAGATTGGGCTTAAAAGTATCCATATAACCTGGTGGTTTGGGCTTAAAAGTGTTCATATAACCCTAGTGGATCGGGTTCAAAAGTGTCCAAATAATCCTAGTGAAATGTGCTTAAAAGTGTTCATATAACCCTAGTGGATCGGGTTCAAAAGTATCCAAATATTTCTAGTGAAATGTGCTTAAAAGTGTTCTTATAACCCTAGTGGATCGGGTTCAAAAGTTTCCAAATATTCCTAGTGAAATGGAACCATAGAATAGTAAACATTGTCCACTTAACCCTAGAAGGGAAATATCAGGATTAGAAATAATACCTTTTATAGAAAAGACCCGCGAATACTGCTGCTAGCCAAGAACCCAGATTAGTTAGCCAACATCTCCAATCACAGACTTCTTCGTCATTCACTTGAAGACTGTCAGGCCAGTATCCCTCTGCTGCTAGTTGACTTATGTTTAAAGTATTTGGAGTTGTTTGTTCATGTCTCAACAGTTCCATTGATTTCATGCTCACAGCGATATTAAACCTTGCTGGTTCAAGTTCATAATATGTATTGTTTAGTTCACTTGATTGAGAAACCATCTCCCCAGGCAGTATCTGAAAATACGTTTTATTAATTAACTTGACATTGGGTTTTATTGCATAAAATGTAATATATATCTTTAATATTTAAAACTATCTTGGGAACCCAGCTTTTCTTGTAAACCAAACTTTCTCTATTAACTCAAGTTTCATAAACATATTTTAAAACATTTTAATGTGTGCTTGGGAAAAATATATATTTCATTTGATTTGAAAAATGGATTCCAAAGTCAAGACTCAATTGACTCACTTACTTTAATCAGAGGACATTTAATTCACCGTGCCTCGGATGCTAACATTGAACCCCCTGGGGCTAAACTAGAGAGCCCCCCACCCTCCCTTGGACACCAAAACTCGAATACAACAGCGTGATATTAAATCAAAAGTTAGAGCAGTATAAAGTTTAAAGCTATATTTCAGACAAACCTGTAGTTTCATATCTCAAACTTAAGATTTGAATCAGATTGAAATAATTTTAAACTTTTGAGAAACTGAAATAAAAATATTTATTTTAAAAAAATGTACTAAACTGGAATAGCTAAATATTAATGGAACGCTTCACAAAGCTATAAAAATGGAACGCTTTGAATTCTAAAAAGCGGACAAAAAAACCGACAAAAATCTAAAATGTTCAATTCTATTTACAGTACACACTGCTCAGCACAGTGTCAAGACTAATTGTCCTTGGTTCTACCAGATATCCTGACATTTCCTTCGAAAAATCAAATTACCAAATATTTTGAAGATCAAACATAAAGTATGATATAGCCAATCCAAAAAAACTACATTTCATGACTCACTGAGTTTTTACCAGGACTTCTAATTTACCATGGGCTTAATATTTGCAATAAAAAAATAGCATTTTGTAACTGTACTTTTTTATTGACATGTTTTTTTTTGTAAATATGGTTACTTAGTAAAAAATGTATTATGTAAGTAGTAAACTTGTTTTAGCAAATATTTAATATATTAAAGTAATTTGTGACCGGAAAATTCTAACAAGAATTCTGTAGAAACTATTTTTTATGAAAAAATTGTACAATGAAGTGATTGCAGCAGAAGCAGATTTGTAACTTGTACCTTCATAATCATCAAAAATATATATATGATTACAGCTGGCTTACTAGTATATGGGTTAATATTGTAGCATATCTGATTACAGCTGGCTTATCAGTATTGGTAACTTTTGTGGCAATTATGATCACAGTTGGCTTAGGGGTTTATGTTATACTATTGTAGAATTATATCATTACAGCTGGCTTAGTATTATATGGGTTACTGTTGTAGCAATATATGATTATCTGGCCTAGTAGTGCTAGTATATGATATACTATTGTAGCATTATATAATTACAGCTGGCTTAGTATTATATAGTATACTATTGTAGCATTGCATGATTACAGCTGGCTTATCAGTATATTGGTTACCATTGTAGCATTTTATGATCACAGCTGGCTTAGTATGATATGGGTTACTGTTGTAGCAATATATGATTACAGCTGGATTATCAGTATATGGGTTACTATAGTAGCTTATCAGTATATGGGTTACTATTGTAGCAATATATGATTACAGCTGGCTTAGCAGTATGTGGTATACTATTGTAGCAATATATGATTACAGCTAGCTTAGCAGTATATGGTATACAATTGTAGCATTATATGATTACAACTGGCTTAGCTGTATGTGGTATACTATTGTAGCAGTATATGATTACAGCTGGCTTAGCAGTGTATGGTATACTATTGTAGCATTATATGCTTACCTGGCTTAGTTGTATATGGGTTATTATTGTAGCAATATGTAATTACCTGGCTTAGTATATGGTAT